TTTCTATTCCCTCCTCCTCCTCTCTCTCTCCTCTCTCTCTTTCTCCCTCTCTCTCTCCCTCCTCCCTCTCTTCCTCCCTCTCTCCCTTACTAGCACAGTTGAGAGAAAGAAAAAGTCAGTGAACAAGATGGATAAGGTCATCTTTCTTCATCATTTCATCAGTTTTTTGATTTCTTCCTCTCTTCTTACCTTGTATGTATTTTCAACACATACAGGAAGAGAAAGAGAGAAGAAAAGAAGGAAGAAAGGGGGAGAAAGAAAGGAGCAGGAGAGACGAAAAGAGGGGAGAAAGAGAAACAAAAGGAAGGAAGAAGAGAAAGTGAGAATTCTTCTATCCCCAATAGCCCTTCTACTTCTACTATCGTTGTCTGTGTGCGTGCGTGTGCGTGCGTGTACATGCATCTGTACTTGTATATGCGTGTGTATACCTGTGTTTGTACACCAGGTGGGAAGACTTGGGATTGTTGGAGACTCTCAGCAGTGTTCAGTACGATTTTTTCCTCTTTTCACTACAATTTATTGCTTTCACTTTCCATGCTGTAACACTTCATTACCACTAGACCTTGAGATGCCCGGTGCTTGCCTTTCTACTATTCTTCCATTCACCACCATCCACTGTTATACCCATTCAGCACCACTCGTCTACCCATAGGTAGCCCTCAACCGGGCTACCCACTGATCCTTCTCTCGTCTACCAATAGGCCGCCCTCCTCTCATACACCCACATAGATTTCCCTCCTCTCGTTTACCCAATAGATCGCCCTCCTTTCATCTTCCTATCGATCGTCCTGCACTCGTCTACCCACCGATCACTCATCTATCCGCCCACCCACGCAACCATCGATATGTTTTAACACCACTGTTAATTCTCGTTGCAATTTCACTGTACCTGTAGAATATTTTGTACTTCCATGTTTCAGTGAAACTATTTCTCATTTCCCACAATCTGTAATCAGTTAAATATTCATTACTACGCCCACAGTCCTGTCAATATCAGTGGGGATGATAAATGACATCACTTATCGATCACTATGATCATTGTCATTCTTTCGAGTTTGTGGGTACTGGTTGCATTTCATTTTCCCTTTTCTTTTCTCTCTTGTTTATTTGAATGACCTCTCTCTATGTTGTATGTTCGCCTCCAGGCAAATAATTTTTTCTTTTAAAGATCTTGTCTGATTTATTCTCTTCATTATTATGGATGCTGGAGAAAAATTCGCAGATATTTCGTATATCTCCATGAAAAATGAAATTTTTTAAACATAGAGTTAATGTATTATCAAAAATTAAACGCATCTTAATTTCAATTTCTACTTTTTTTCAAGTTCCTCATGTAAAGAAATTATATGGGTGGGGACTTTGATAAGCAAAGTTTTGTAAAATTAATTCCGTTTCCGGTTATATAAAATAACTTGCAAATATTGCTAGGAATAAATAAATGTAATGAAATGTAATAAATTGCACTCTTTTCCAATAAAAAATTCAAGACGGAGATACAAGTAGAGTGGGAAGTACAAAAATCAAAACAAAAAGTTGGAACGACTGAAAACTTATTATCCTTTACTTTTCTTTTATCCCATCTTTTTTCTTTTCCCCCTTTTTCTGTGTATAACGAAATAGGTGATAAATACTTCTTTACTAACAGCAGGAAAATCTCGAAATGTTTGCATTCAGTTTCTTGTTTTTTCCCCTTCCATCATCGAGAGACACTATTTCCTCGACATACTACTTCGTTGATATCTTCTTGTTTTTTTTTTTTTGTTTTTCAAATTCCTGTTGATAATATCGCAGAATTCATGTAGTTTAAGAATCCCGTGGGGAAGAATTATTGGATTGACTTATTTATGGATCAGTTGGAAAGGTGGAAGGAGGGATTAGACGGGTTTCGATAAGCTTGTCTAACCGAACTAATGCTTTTTGTTTTATTGATTCGAAATTCAATGATGGGATAAGATAGAAGAGATGGTGGATAAATCCGTTGAATTACAATGTTTCAAATATCGTTTTGATATAAAAACTAACGTTACATGAAGTCAAAAAGAATTATATGTGTCGTCCTAAGCTAGTATTAATTAGTGTTATGGTACTTAGTTTAATCTCCTTCCAGTCTACATATCCATTGTCACTGATATGTGGAGAGACCGCAGTTTTAGCTGAAGTATGACTGTTTGCTGATCGTTTCGTTTTCGATGAACGTTTACATTTTGTATTGATGTTTCACGCTACTTCATTGTCGCGGTAAATACTTCTACGGGATTGACTAAATTCGACTTCTTATTACTACTCCTACCAGTGAAGGTTTAGAATATGAAGGAAAGAATAGAAGGGAAATTTCAACAAGTGTAAAAGTAGTAACAATGACAAATGTACCTAACTATTGACATTATCAATAAAAATATAGAATAAAAATAAAAAAAAGAAGAAAAGGAAAGAAAGATAGAAGGACAGAAAGTCTAGGGAATGAGGAAGCTATATTTATTGTCGCATACATATATCTATT